AAAATGTGCATTCCAAGGTCTTTTGATGCTGTACAAACCTTTTTGTAACATTTTGGCTATGCCAAATTCTGCATTTATTATGAGAGGTGGAAGACAAAATCCAAAGTGTTCTACTGTGTGGTTTTTGCTACCATCCAGAACAGTGATTCTAAGCTTTAGGGGAGAAGAGTTCACAGAATCCTTTCAAGAATCTGGTAAAAACTATAGACTCCTGCTCAGAGCAGTGCACATGCATATAGCATTTTATGTGTAGTTTCTGGGGTTTCAGGAATTCCTTGAATTCTTCCAAGGACATTCGTAGAAGACTCATGGACTCCTGGTTAAAAAAAAAAATCTGCTCTGGGTCTTAGAATATCAGAGCAACTGAAAGGAACAAGAGAAAGTGGGTTTATCTTCAAGACCCAGGAAGCTCCCTTTGGGTATGAATGGAAGAGCACAAGAACTCTGGCCAACTCCTACCCAGCCTGAGAGCCCCTCTGACCTAGCCAACCATTGGTTGTCTGAACTCTGAGAGCTGCCCTTCCCTAGTTCTGCTCACAGTTGATGGCACAGAAAAGGCACAAATGCCAATGAATCCTCTCTCTGGGCTTGGGTTACCGCCACTGTCTTTCTTCCAACCAAAGCTTCCTCTGACTCCATGTCTACCCAGCCTTTAGTTCTTCTAGGGAGAACAGCCTTCACCCAATCTCCCCAAGAAGGTACCTCCCTTGCATCTACATACAGTAGTTACCCTTTCAATCTATTGTTGCCTCCCAGGATAAGCTTGAAAGTGCTTTCTATTCTAGGTGGAAACAAAAACAAAAATAGATTTCAGGACCCCAAGTTGCAAACTTATTTAAATAAAACATAGCACTGTGTTGAAATAGAATAAGAAAATGGTTTGTCCACATCACCCTCAAACAGTGTTAAGTCCACCTCATCAGGCACCTTCACAAATATCCTACAATATTCAAAATCCACTTTCCAAAAGCCTGCCTGGCTTTTCCCCCCAACCACAGTTAGGTGAAGTCATTTTACTTCCAGTTTGGAAGTTCCAGCCAGAATCTGAGCTTAGTCCAAAACTATTGGACTCTGTGGCTTCCAAGGAAAACAGTCTGTCGCTGATTTAAAGACACTGTTAGGTTGGTGCAAGCCAAAACAAATGAAGCAGGCTTTTCATTAATAAGGAGGAAGCAGCCCTTCCAAGGTGGTGACCTAATAAAGCAAGCGACACATGGGCATCAGGTTTCAAACCCCAGCACCAGACAGACTCAAGATTTCACACTTGCCCTCTGAGCCAATAAAACCCTTAACTTGATAATCCCACTATTTAAAAAACATTGTAACAGCCCCAGCCCACAGAGAAAATGTTTATTTGCTAAGAATATGACCACTGGTGGAAAAAAAAAGGGCAAAGGTACACTTTTGCCATTTTACTTTCATAGGAGTAAAAACTAGTATTTTTGAGATTTGATAAGGCAGAAACAAACTAACGCGAGTAAAAACTTGAAAGTTTCCAACAGTCTTTTTAAATTAAATAAAGGTATGAATTGAGGATTGGAGAGGATAGTCTTGAACCTAAGTTGTTTTTAAATTTATTTATTTATTTTTTATAAATAGAGATAGGGTCTCACTATGTTGCCCAGGCTGGTCTCGAACTCTTAGGTGCAAGCAATCCTCCCACCTCGGCCTCTTGAAGCCTCATAGGCATGAGCCACCTTGCCTGGCCTATTTTTAAATTTAATAAACACTTACATGGTGCTGACTGTGTTATTGAATTCATTCAAAGTGCTTTACACATATTAACTAATGTAATCCTCATATCAGCCTATGAGGGTAGCACTATTATTATCCAAATTTTACAGATGAGGTAACTGAGGCACAGAGTGCTTCCAGTCACACAGCTTCTAAGTGGCAGATGTAATAATATCAGGTGATGAGCTTACTGTTTACCGTATGTGACAGTGTGGAAGTATTTAAGTATCAGGAACATTTAGCAGTATTATAAAAAAAAATTGTATATTTCAAATAGCTAAAAGAGAGAACTTGAAATGTTCCCAACACATAAAAATCATAAAAGCTTGAGGTACTGGATACCTCACATATCCTAACTTAATCATTACATATTTTATGCATGTAACAATATACCACATATACTGCATACATATGTACAAATATTATGTATCAATAAAAAATTTAAGAATAAAAAATACGCGTTTGAAAGAGACAAAAGGGATACTTTTTTTTAAGTACTTGGACTGTCATCTTCTCTAAGGAATAAGGCCTCAGATAACAAACATTAAAAGGTCAATCAACTAAGCCGACTTCCTTCCTTCCTTCCTTCTTCTCCCTCCTTGCTTCCTGCCTGCCTGCTTTACTCCCTCCTGCCCTCCTACTTTCCTTTCTCCTTCCTTTCTCTCTCCCTCCCTTCCTTCTTCCTTCCTTCTTTCCTTCCATTTCTTTCTCTTTCTTTCCTTCCTTTCTTCTTACCTTTCTTCCTGCCTGCCTTCCCTCTTTTCCTCCCTTCCTTCTTCCTTCACTCTTGTTCTTTTCTTCCTTCTTTCCTGCCTACCTGCCTTTGTTCCCTCCTTCCTTCCTTCCTTCCTTCCTTCCTTTCTCCTTCCTTCTTTTCTCCCTCTCTCCCTCTTTTCCTTCCATCCCACCTTTCCTCCTTCCATCCTGCCACATGTATTGGTCCACATCTTGAACCAGGTACTATCCCATGTGCTAGAGATCAGCTGCCTTTTTTCCACCTAGAATCCAGGGAAGGGAGAGAGACATTAAGAGTAGAGAAGTGCACACTGTAACTTAGGAATGCTCTGAAACAAGCCAACACTAAGGGGACAGAGTGGCATGGGGGTGATGGTTTAGGTATGGGAGGAGGAAGTGACAATCAGAGAACCCTGAATGGAGTTGTGCCAGGGTAGAGGGAGCAAGGGGAGGGGTTCGGGGAGAGGAGGCCAGAGAGTGGCCCCACCAGATCTCCTTGGGAGGGGTTAAGCAAACTGCAGAGTGATGTATTTACATTTTAAAAGGTCACTCCAGCTGCCAGGGATGAGGCAGGGAAGAAGATGTGGGAAGGGAAACCAGGAGGATCCTGCAGGATTCCTGAGAGACCTGCAGAATGGTGTCGTAGGGGTAGATGGGGCAACAGCCCCCAAAGATGCCCACACCCTAATCCCTGGAACCTGTGAATACATCATCTTCAATGGCAAAAGGGACTCCGAGGAAGTGGTATTAGGGTGGGCACAGGCCGGTGGGGCAGCCCTGATGGAACTAATGTTTGGACAGAGCCAGGAGACCTTCACTCTGGGGTTGGAGGGGGATGTAGGAGGGGACAAAAATCCAAAGTCAGCTGAGGAGGGGCCAGAACACATGAGCAAGGGGAACATGGACCCCTCGGGTTCCAATCACAGCTTTGAAGCTTACAGGGTGAGTTTAAACTTGAGAAAAGCACTGCATTTCTCTCACATCAGCTTTCTCAATCAGAAAATGAAGTTAATAGTGCCTAACTAATATCAGTGTTTTGAGGGTAAAAGTAGATAATTCATGTAAATCCCCTGGCACAGTGTCTGGCAGGTACTAAGCACTCTCATAAATGCTAGTCAGCAGCATTCTCACAAAAGGGGTCGGGGACAGTGGCTAAGAGCATTGGCACTGCAAGGCTCCGGGTTCCAATGCCAGCTCCATATTTATTAGTAAGGGGGAGCCCTGGGCAAGGTACTTAACCTCTCTGTGCCTCAATTTTATCCTGGGTAAACTGAGGATAATAACATCTACCTTATGGGATTCATGAGAAGGTCTGCATTGGCTTTTATTATTCTGCTGATGAGGATGATAAATAATACACAGGTTATGAAATGAAAACCTCGAGGGTCGATTTACTACATCAGATAGCTTTGTAATCAGCTATTTAAATGACTCGCTATTTCTGCCTTATCAACATGCAGCAAAAGGAGGATGAGGCTAACATGAAATCCATGCACAATAAATAAAGATGCTGTCAGCTTTGCCTTAAGGGCGATTTCACAATGCTGTGAACTCTATGATGCACAACCAGGCAGTGAAGGCCTTTGCTTTGAGGAAATCGCAATGAGTCTGCAAGAAGATGCAGAGCCAGCCTTGGAGAATTAATAGCCTATGCCTGTCAGTCGTTCCCATTTTAATCTTCCACCTCTCCCTTGCCAGTCTAGCTGTGGGCCTCTGAGTCCCTACACCGGAACCACATTGAGGGTCAGGAACCTTGGCATTTAATGGTGTTTGAAAAACACTCAAATCATTTGTGCCAAAAACAGGGGTGATAATACTATTCCCACTGGGCGGGGTCATTGACTCGGCAGTTTGACCTACACAAGTGGCCCTTTTATGGGCAAAACGATGACCCTGAGCTCCACAATCTAAAGAGCTAAGTGTTCGGTGCATAGCATGTCCTTTAAGCGCTTTCTGAAAGGACTCCCCAGACAGTAGGGAGGGTAATGCATGTACACTTGACATATCTTATCAGAGAAGCCCAAGACAGCCTGCCTGCCTCTCCTCCCTGGGACATTAGTGAGGAGCCAGGGGAATTCCAGAAGGAAGGCATGTGACACTTTGCATGTGACAGGCCTGGGCGTAACCAGGAACCATGTGGCCTCCATCACAGTTGGTCACTGTGTTGATACCAACTCCCCGACCATGTTGTGGGTTGCATCTCTTGGGCTCAGGGGGTTTTACTCATCCCCTAAAGCCGGATGACTCATACTGTGGTCTGTGACAGCAGCAGCAGCATTACCTGGAGTTTGTTTGAAATGCAGATTATCAGCACCCTGAGACCTTCTGAATCAGAATCTGCATTTTTACAAACTGCCCTAGTGATCTGTGCACAATTCAAGTTTGAGAAGCACAGATGGAGAGCCTACTGGGTCTCAACTGTGACTGCACATCAGACTTTTAAAGGTGGGATGATTTAAAATTATACCCTTACCCAAGGCCCACTCCAGACTAATTATATCAGGATCCATTTGTAAATTTCCTAAGTGATTTTACTATGCAGCCAGGATTAAAAACCACAGATGTCACTGATGATGATGATGATGATGATGATGATGATGATGGTGATGGTGATGAAGATGGCAATGATTGCAGGTAACATTACTTCCCTCCCACCCCACTTACATGTGCTGAACTCTTCTTACTACTATTTAACTCATCACAATTCTGTGAAGAAGTACTAGCATTGTCTCCACTTAAGAGATGAAAAATTAAGAAACTGCCTCAGGTCATAGAGCACAGATGTGGCAGAGTCAGAATTTGCACTTTTAACCTCTCTATAAATCATTGAGCCTGCCTCAGACTGACTTCATCCAGAATTTCTGGGGGTGGGGCTTAGGTGTCCACATTTTAAACTTATGCACCAGGTAAATCTAATTCACACTGAAATGTAAGATGTGAGAACCATGTTTTATCCACTCCCAAAGAGGCTTCTTTAATTTAAGGCTTTAGACATTTAAAAAAATCAGAGCTATAATGAGTTTGCTCAGCAGTTACTCTTGGCATCATCTATGGAGCAGTTCGGATACATGGCTGTTCATTATTTATATGACAAAGATAGGAATCCTGAGTGTCCACATTCCTTCCTCACTAATAACTGCTCAGGTCTTCTCATCACAGACGGTCCTAGCTTTAGTCCAGGTTTCACCTTGTAGTTCCAAATGATTCCTGACTCAGAGTTTTCTTCTTCTTTTTTTTTTAAATATTCATCCCTTTATCCATTGATTCATCTACCCATGCATCCCTCTATCCATCCATCCCATCCCATCCATCCATCCATCCATTCATCCATCCATCCACCAGTCATTCATCATTCAACACCTTCCACTACTGCACTGGCATCGGTGAGGTAGAGTTGAATAAGGTGCAACTCTCAAGGGGCAACAGAAACATTAACAGACCTTTGGGAATCAGTCGATACAGTCTGATGACAGGGGTGAGCTCAAGAATCAGTGAGGATAAGGAGGCAGTTCTTGGGATCTAAGGGAACTGCCAGAGAAGGGTCCAGGAAGGCATCTCAGAGGAGATGAAATAAGAACTGAATTTCAAGGATGCATAGGCTTTCGAAGGGAGTTAGGAGGGAGGTAGTATATACGCAGAGGGAACAAGCTGTGCAAAGCCCAGGAGGTGTAAAAGAGTGCAGTGTGTTTAGAGTTCTGGGAGTCACCCTGTTTTGGAGAAGGATGTGCAAAATGGAGGGGGGTGAGAGATGGCCCTGGGAGATGAGGTAAGCTCCAGGTCACAGTCTGGTTCAGCATGTCAGATGTTCCCTTGCAGGTGACAGGGAGCCACTTTAGGGTGTAAACAAGGAAGATGTTTTGGAAAGCTCACTGGGGCTACTTTACTGAGAATGGATTCCTGTGTGAAGACTGCAGGCAGGGAGACTATTGTGAGAGTATAGTCAAGAGACAACAGGAACCTGAATTGAAAGTAATAATTATGATGACTGTACCTGGGTGAACAGTGGTTGTCCAAAAGATCTGTCCAAGTCCTACCCCTTGTACTTGTGAATGTGACCTTACTTAGAAATAGAGTCTTTGCAGAAATAATTTAGTTAAGGATATTGAGATAAATCATCCTGAATTTAAGGTGGGACCTAAACCCAATAACTGATGTCTTCATAAGAGAAAGGAAAAAGAGATTTAAGATACACACACACCCAGAGGGGAAGGCCACATGGAGACAGAGGCAGAGATTGGAGCAATGTGTCCATGAGCCAAGGAACTCCAACTACTTCCCTTCCACACTGCATTGAGGGCCTATGCATCCCTGAAATTCCAGCAGCTGCCAGAAGCTAGGAGAGAAGCAAGGAGCAGATTCTCCCTTAGGGCCTCCAGAAGGAACCAACCCTGCTGACACCTTGATTTCAGACTTCCCACTCCCAGAACTATGAGAGAGGAATTTCTCTTGTTTTAAGCCACCCAGTGAGTGGTCAGGTCTTACAGCATTCCTAGGAAACTAACATAGGTAACAAACTAATGTTAAGTACCCTGTGAATGCTTCACAAGTGTCAGTTCATTTGGCACCCCAAACAATTCCTAAGGTGGATACTGGTAGTATTATTACCATCTTTCAGATGAAGAAACTGAGGCACAGAGAAGTTAGGTATTTGACCTAAGGTTGCAAAACAAGTAGGAGGCAGGGCAGGGTCTTATCTACCGACAGTCTGGGAATATGGCCCGTGGTCTCAGCTCTATGAGGATGGAGAGAAAAGGGCAGATTTAAAGAGGTGGAGATGATGAATAGGGCCTGGCAATGGAGGGTGGGCAGGAGAAGGCCAGCCTTCTGGGTTTCAGGCTTTTGTGGTCCCTCCACCCTCTGAGTTTCCATCAGCTTCTGTTTTTCATGTGACAGTGACCCCTAGGATATGTTAACCTGTCCAACTCTCTAGCCCTGCTTTTGGGACCTGCTTCTCAAGGAGTCCTTTGCTCTCTCCACATATGTCCTTGAAAGGACTCTACCCTTGTTGACTCCCTGAAAGTGCTGCCCTCTGGTCTCTCTTTCCTTCTCTGTCCACATAGGCACGTGCCTGGCTCTGATCATGTGGCCAGCTCTAGCCACATCCTCTTAACATCTTTGAGCCCTTTCCTGACCCTAAAATCCTAATGTTTACTCTGGTTTCTGTTCTCAGCATTCCCATCTCTTTCCTCCCCTCCACCCCCCTGGGGAATGGGATGGAGGGGCATTGAGATAAAAGGAGGGTAGGAAAGCCATGTCTTCCAAGGCAAAAAGTCACTTCCTCTATGTCACTTTCCTATTTTCCTTTTTAAAATGTCCCATTCTCTCAGCTCCAAGGCAAGAGACTTCTTATAAGTACATAAAAGTAGCTTTTGCTCCTTTATAATAACTTAGGGTTTCTTTCCTGCCTCACAGTGAGTGACTTACATTGGCCTGGGTTGCAATGACAGAGCACAGAGGCTGCTGTATTACCTCCACTTCCATGTGGACATTGCTATTTCAAGAGACTGCCAGCCCCGGTAATCCCTTCTCTGGGTCTGGGGTGGCAAATTTGCCAGCAAGCATAATTGATCAATTAATTTAAAGGTGAATATCTATACTGCCCCACATATCTAGATTAATAAAGACTTTTCTTACACTCTAGGATGGAATTTCATTGGAAAGTTCCAGGGTGTTAAATAGACAAATATTTAAATTAAAAGTGGAAACTTAAACCTAGAATCCAGGTGCCACTAATCTTCCATTGATCAAAGTTTATTGCCAAAAGAGGAGCCATTTTGGAGACATAATTATGTAAAAAGAAAAGGAGAAATTCAAAAGATCAAAAACTTTCCAGGGGCCTAAAACACCTTGAAGACCTCTTTGGGAACTACATAGGTTTCTATGATATAATACCATTAAAAAAAAATTCTATCCTTCTAGATCCTTGAGGAATCGCCACATTGTCTTCCACAATGGTTGAACTAATTTACACTCCCACCAACAGTGTAAAAGCATTCCTATTTTTCCACAGCCTCTTCAGCATCTGTTGTTTCCTGACTTTTTAATGATCACCATTCTAACTGGCATGATGAGACGGTATCTCATTGTGGTTTTGATTTGCATTTCTCTAATGACCAGTGATGATGAGATTTTTTTCATATGTTTGTTGACAGCATAAATGTCTTCTATCTCATTACTGGATATATACCCAAAGGATTATAAATCATTCTCCAATAAAGACACATGCACATGTATGTTTATTGCAGCACTATTTACAATAGCAAGTACTTGGAACCAATACAAATGCCCATCAATGATAGACTGGATAAAGAAAATGTGGCAAATATACACCATGGAATACTATGTAGCCATAAAAAAGAATGAGTTCATGTCCTTTGCAGGGACATGGATTAAGCTGGAAACCATCCTTCTCAGCAAACTAACACAGAAACAGAAAACCAAACACAGCATATTCTCACTCATAAGTGGGAGTTGAACAATGAGATCACATGGACACAGGGAGACGAACATCACACACCAGGACCTGTTGGGGGGTAGGGGGCAAGGGGAGGGAGAGCATTAGGACAAATACCTAATGTAAGCGGGGCTTAAAACCCAGATGACGGGTTGATGGGTGCAGCAAACCACCATGGCACACGTGTACCTATGTAACAAACCTGCACGTTCTGCACATGTATCCTAGAACTTAAAGTAAAATTAAAAAAAAAATTATATCTTTGTTTTCAGACATCATAACCATCCACAAAGTGATAGGTATTGTCACCACTCCTGACATATTTATCTGCCTCCAAACATTCAGAGTGGTTTTAAGAAAGCAATCATATTATTTTGGAAGGAATTTTCCACATACCCTGTTGATTTGTCAGCATCTTAAAATGCCATAAGATTAGGTTTTCTTTTCATTTTAAAACCATTTTATGTATAGCCTGTTTTGCATTCAAATAGATCACTTTATGTTTGATCATTACTCCACTGGTCTAGATGAAGAACATAAGAAATGATTAGCTGAAGATTTCCTCTGGAGTGGTCCTTAATGAACATAAACCATATTCTTTATTCAAATGACAGACAACCCAAAAGTTGGTACTCACTCACGTGCCTTCAATGGCTGTGTTGGGATAATGTGCCCTGACACACAGTTACAGGAATTGAGCAATCATTTGTGTTTTACTTTGAGTAAAAAAGGAAACTTTAAAAAATGAGGAAAAATGCAACAGTTAAGAAAAACTCCCAGTGAGCTCTTGGGAAGGACAATTGAGTGCATTTGTACTCTAAGGATCTGAGGGATAGATACTTGCTTCGTGACTTCATTTAACAATATAATGAACACCTCTTATACAGTGGGCTAACACAGTGCTAGTTTCTGGGTTTACAATGGTGAGTGAAAGCAAAAAGCTCTTCCTTCCAGAGCTGACAGGTCTTCTGGTTAACTCTCTTTTACTAGAATTTGGGGAAGAGGAAGCCTGAAGGAGTCCGCAAAACAATGTCCTTCAAATCAGAGTTTATTCAATGCTGATTTTTCATTTTTCTATGGTTCTACCTGGGGACAAGTCAGTCAAATAATTTGAACCTCAGCGTCCTCATCTGCAGAATGGGAATAATAACAGTTTGTAAAGTTATCGTGAAGATGACACAAAATGCTGGAGACATTGGATGTGCTCTATAGAAAATAATTTCTAAACAGTAAAGAATATTATAATAAATATTAAACTTTCCTTCTGTGTTTTTCTCAATTTCTGTTCTCCTTCCCTTTTCCTCTTTGTTCTTTCATTTTGACCACTGCCTAACCACTGACATGATTTTGGTGAGCAAGTCTACTTAGCCTAAATTCCACAAAGCAATGAGTAAATTATTTCCCCTGTGTTTAATTTCAAAGTACTGCGGTTTAGAGTAAAAATGGACTCAAAAAGCTACAGAATGCATGATCCTTTTCATATAACATTCTGGAAAAGGCAAAACTATAGGGGCAAAAATCAAATCAGTGATCAATAGGGGCTGAGGGTGAAGAGGGTGGCTTGACAACAAAAGCACCAAGAGAACACTGTGGTGACGGAAATGTTCTGGATCTTCATTTTGGAGGTAATTATAAGCATGTATACATTTGTCAAAACACGTTGAACTGTATACTTGAAAAGAGTGAATTTTACCATATATAAATTACACCACAATCAACTTTACTTCAAAAAAGAATACTTCACCTTGGGACCTTTGAGCCTTTCATTAGGAAAAATCTATGATCAATATAGGAAATTGGCAGTACTCCTGGAAATACTCATGTACATAACTAACTATAATAAAAAACAGTCATTGATAAATTCCCTAAGAGAGGTACAAAGTTCTCTGGGAATTCAGAGGCAAGAGAAACAACATCCGTCCAGAGAAACCAAGAAATATTTCGCGGAGGAGGATGCATTTAAAATGGGCCTGAAAGATTGCAGTTAATCACCGGTTGGTGGTAGTGGTGGTGGTGGTTGTTTGTTTGCTTCTCTACTATCACCAATATCTTCGATTCTAGTACCTGTTTACAAATTGCTTGCAAAATTTGTTACAGGTTTGATTATTTTTCTAATTCTAAAAGGTCTTATATTATGATGGATGCATTTGCCAGAGACTCAATGATTCACACTATCTTCACCTTAAAGAATCACAGTTCTGATGCTATGTTTTCTGAGTTTGTGGTGATTCTGGAATTGATTAACTTTTAAATATACACTTACAATACATTCTACCATTCTATGAAATGATGAAATGTGCAATGAAGAAATGAGGATACAGCACATCTAAGTGTAAGAGGCTGGAAATGCGGTTCCAAAAATCTGGGTTCTATAATTCATAAACGACTCCATACATCAAGAAGAAAAAGATTAATACCCCAAAGAAGAGAGGGGAAAAGTATACCAACAGCCAGGTCAGGAGAGAAAATACGCTGACTCTCAAACTATGAAAACGTGTTCTATTTCAATATCATTAGTGAAAGAGTTACTTCTCTTTCTACTAATTAGTAAGCAAAAAGACCAACAGCTCAGTTTTTTAAAAAACGAGCAAAGGAACGAAATAGACAGCTCACAGAATAGAAAATACAAATAGCTTGAAACACATGAAAAGATGCTTAAACATACTCATAATAAGAGAAAGTCAAATGCAAGCTGCACTATCTCACATTGTACCTCATAAATAGGTACAACTATCATGAGTCAATGAAAAGAAAACGAACAAAAGAGCCAACATGAGACTCAAATTGTAGGAAAGAATAGAGGAAGGGCAGAATCTGATCCCCATCCTTTTACTTTATCTTTCTATATCTTTAAATGAGAATATATGTTAAAGCTGGGAGAAGCTGAGATTTCATTAAATGACAAATGTACACAGTGGATGATTAGGTCACTTATAGAAATAAACTACTACTTCTTTGCACATCTGAATAGGACTATGAGAAAATTTCCAATTCCACTGCAAAAAAATACAAATACATTATTTTAAATAAATATTTGTCTTTACATTGACACACACACACAAACTGCACTCTCTTGTATGCATTGGGCTGGCAAAATGTATGAAGTTTGCTAGCAGTGATAATGATGATACAGGAAAATCAACTAATGATGGAACAACCTTCATAGAGAACCATTTGACAATGTCTATCAAAATTACAAATGTACTTTGACCCAGCAATCCCACTTCCACAAATTTTGTCCTAAAGATCACTGTTTTATCCTACAGATCATTTATGCTCAAAATGTTATGAGAACAACATTATTCACTGTCATACTATTTCTAATAGCAAATGAATGTCCATCCGTAGGGTTAAACGAATTGTTATATATCATAAAATAATACACAACTTCTCTGTGAGACAGGATGGAAAAACTCTTTATGCACTGGTGAGGAGCAAGCATGAAGATATATTATAAATCAAAAAGTCAAAATGCAGAATAGTGTGCAGTATGTTAGTATTTAGGTTAAAAAGGGGAGTGATTGGAGAATGCATGGCTGCGTTTGCTTGTATATACCTGGACTATCCCTGGAAAGATATGTCACCAACTGGTATTAGGGTTTGTTTATGGGAACTCTCAGAGAGGTTGGGGGTGGGGTTAGGATGGGTAAAACACTTTTTGTGGATATATAATCTTTTGTGCCTTTTGAATTTTGGGCCAGGCGAATGAATATATTACCTATTTGAAAATAAATAAAAAATGAAATAGATAAAGCAATGAAATACCTAAAAAGTTACATAGATAAATCAATGAAAAAAAAGAGAAATCTGGTATATATCCCTATTCTATCACTAAGTCTTATGACCATAGACAAGTCTATATCTTTTTGGTGAACCTTGGCATGCTTTGCTGTAAATGAAGTTGATCTCTAAGATCTAGTAAGCTCTCGAAGACCTCATGTTGGTTTTCTTGAGGGCTGAGTTGGGATGTGAACACAAATTCTCTCTTCATGATCAATGCACACAACTGTACATATTGTGAACTATCAAACTCAGGGGCACCACTTATATAACTTGCTGTGTGATAGACACTCCTTGGAGTTGTGCAGTGCACAGCTTGAACTTCTGGATGGGGCAGACCTGCCTCTCTCTTTGCCTTTGGGTTTTTTCCCAAAGGACTTTGTGACCATAGGAGATTTTAGTGGTGGAAACCAATGGTTACTTCATATGTGGTAAGGGTACCAGGCATCAGAGCCTCTTATTTCAAACAAGGTTATTATATATTAAACCATGCATTGGTATCAAGGAAGGATATACAGTATGGGATTCTTATAAAGTATTCTTTGCCACTAAATTTTTTTTTGAAGCAACATGGATGGACCTGGAGATTATTATGTTAAAGAAAATTAGCCAGGCACAGGAAGATACATCTTGCATTTTCTCACTCATATGTTGGGAGCTAAAAAAGTTAATCTCATGGAGGTAGAGATTAGAATGATAGTTACCAGAAGCTGGGAAGGGTGTATGTGAGGGTGGGTGAGAACAAAGAGTGGTTGGTGAATAGGTACAAACATACAGGTAGATAGAAAGAACACATTATGTTCAATAGAAGAATAGGTCACTTATGGTTAACAGCGATGTATTGTATATTTCCAAATAGCTAGAAAGAGGACTTGAAATATTGTCAAAACATAGAAACGATAAATGCTTGAGGTGATACATATCTTAAATACCTAGATTTGATCATTAAGTTTTCTATGCATGTACTCAAAATATCATATGTACCCTATAAATATGTAGTCATCAATAAAAAATTAAAGATGGTCAGAATTACTAAAAGCTAACCAGGCATGAAACAATCTCAAATGATTGAAAGCAATCAGTATATGATAAATCTTGAAATTCCAACTGGTGGTGAAATAATGGGATATCCAGTAAAGTGCATAGAGTATCTGGTTAACTTCTGGGGAAAAATCAACTACAGTTAGAATTCATATCCCACAACTGACACTCAGATAAACTCCATATGGATTACAGAGTTAAGCATAAAAAGCAAACACCTAATTTCGGGGTGAAAAGTGACTTTTGGGTATAAAAGGAACAGGACATATCCTAAAAGAGCAAACTGATAAAACTGGCCAAAAGCCAATGAAAATTTCTGTAAAAGATAGCACCACAATCAAAATCAAAAGGCAAACTATGACATGGGAAAACATATCCACAACATCTGTCTGTAGCAGATCAACAGTTCAGCCCTTATGAGTCAATAAGAAAAAAGATGAAGATTAATAGTGGAACGTGGGTCCAATCACAAATTCACATACAAATAAATACATATGGCAAACAGACATGAGAGAAATGTTCATTTCACAGATATCTAAAGAAACACAAAATGTGATGCTGTTATTTTGACTATCAAAATGGGCAAGATTTCAAAAGCAATCACACTCAGCATTAGTGAAGGTTTGAGGAACAGACTTACATACTGTTGGTATCCGTATGTTTATAAATGGTTCCAGTCTTCTGGCGAACCATTTGGTGATGTGAATCAAAAGCGTTATAACTATATACACCCATTGATTTAGGTGATTCTGTCCCTTGGAATATCAGTAATGAAAATAACTAGAGATGGGAACAAGGGTTTATGTATAAGGGAGCTCATCAAACCATCATGTGCAGTGATGAAAAATCAAAACCAATCTGCATGGTTATCATGGTACATCCCTGTGATGAAAGATTGTGCTGCCATTTTTTCAGTGTTTCACCAAGTATGTACTGATGATGATTACTCTGTGCAAAAGCACCGTTCCAGGGGGTTTGAGGTCTTCATCAGGTTTACATTCTAGTGAGGCTCTTCTCACATATAATAAATAAATAATAAATGAATATTTAATGTTACATAGTTATGAGGGCATTATGGAAAAGTTAAGCAGGGTAAAGGGATACTGAGGGGGTGGAGGTGGGAGCTGAGGGCTAGATTATTTTGCTTTTCTATTTTTTTTTTTTGTTTGTTTGTTTTTTTTTTTTTTTTTTTTTTTTTTTGAGACGGAGTCTCACGCTGTTGCCCAGGCTGGAGTGCAGTGGCGCGATCTCGGCTCACTGCAAGCTCCGCCTCCTGGGTTCACGCCATTCTCCTGCCTCAGCCTCCTGAGTAGCTAGGACTACAGGCGCCCGCCACCGCGCCCGGCTAATTTTTTTGTATTTTTAGTAGAGACGGGGTTTCACTGTGGTCTCGATCTCCTGACCTTGTGATCCGCCCGCCTCGGCCTCCCAAAGTGCTGG